GGGGGGGGGGGGGGGGTGGTATCCCGACATACCAAAACATCCCCAACGAATCAGTTTTCGCAATCATACCACCACCACGATGTTGTATTAACAACATCGCCATTGCCATCAACCTCGTCACCAGAATCGGGGCAACCCTCGAGATAGATTCAGAGACCGGGGCCCTTAATGGCATTTTGAGAGATGGCACTAGAATTGGTGCGAATGGCATCATCGCACCATGAGCGGCGGTCCTACTGTACCGTGGTCGGGATGCAATTTCCTGATCTTTATCAATTTGTTGTCAGAGTAAAGGCTTCCATACCTTACACATATTCGCTCCGCTCCGCTCCCCTCCCATCAACATCTCCCTCCTTCCTCCTCCTCCCATTAAAAGCAATTGCATTTTTCAATTTCCTCCACGGCACCATGTTAGACTGTTTTCTTTTGTTTCTGCCATAACCTGTCGCACGCCTAGCCAGCGTTGCATAACTACCATGATGTCCTCTTTACTCAATTAAACACAATCAATCAATATCTTTACATCCACCAATAAGATGATCCAGTCAAATTGTGGCTGAGAATCAATATTATTCTTTGGGTGAAAATTAAACAGAAATATGACTTTGAGATTTCCTCTAGAACTTTGAGGATTGACCTATCATTTCTATGTCCACAATAAGTGCTTTGGGGCTCAACATAAGCTTGATTTGAGAAGCTCTGATCTCAAAACGCCAACGACTTACCTATCACTATATAGATCAGACAACTCTGATTCCTCGACGCTGGATATTAAAGCTGTTATAGAGTGGAGGTTCTACCTTTTCCCCCCGATATTTCAACACGAATTTGTTACTGGCCGGGCATTTAGGGGTAGAACTAATACGAACGTAAGAGGTGCTTGAAGAGTCCTAGAATAGCAGTACGAATTTGTTGTGTCCTAGGTTTTCGGAAAGCACTGGAATTATGTATCGTAGCAGCTGCTAGAATTATAGCACGAATTTGTTGTAAACCGGGAATTGAGCCGCAAGATCTAGATTATTAACACGAATTTACTATAGCTACAGCACGAATTTACTGTAGCTAGATATTATCGAAGTGTCAAGCGCCTAAACCATTGATACTTTGCCTCAATCATACGACCTTTTCAACCTGGTTCCACATTCGTCTGTTCCGTCACAAAACAGACACCAAAAATACTTCAGAATCGCTCTCAAATTAGTTCAACATTCGTCCCTTTCGTCACAAATTGGACAACAGCAGCGCTAAGTCTTGATCTCTTAATTCAGTCCTTCGAGAAACAAACCACCTACGCAGAGCCTTTGTACGGACCGCTTTGCAACTACGAATACCCCCTCTACGAACTGACTGAGACGACACCCCTCGGTCACATAAGCAAAACTTCGCGGAAGAACCGAACACTCGCATTCGCAAATACCAGACTGCTGGTACACCTACTTCAAACTCGCAAAAGAGCCTTAAACACCCCGCATTTGCAGCACACGTCACACGTCACTTCCATCAACCTACCAGGAAAATCAACCACCCTCAACAGGGCAAAACAAGCGAGAACTTCCCCTACTACGAAAAAAAAGGACGGCACTACCTTGGCCACCGAAGAGGCAAATGAAAAGCTGTTCGAAATTTCACGGGAATTCGTGGGCAGGGGTATAGGAAAGGTGTTTAAGACCAAGGGAAAAAAGACCGCAGAAGCAGCAACATTGTGGTGAGAGTATGTTTTGCCAAAACTTACTTCGGCGAATGTAGAGGGGACCAAAGATTGGACAGAGGACCAGATCCAACGAGCTTTTCTTGCATGTGCCAAGGAGGTTCTACCATCAAAGCGTAAGGGTCGGGGAGAGGAAGATAACGATGATGAAGAGGAGAATAAAGAGGAAGCAGAACAACCACTAGCAAAAAGAGCAAGAGTGGCTCGCAAACAAGTCCTTGACGAAGATGAGGAAGACGATTTAGAGGGCGACACCATGGTTAATTGAGCACTAGTAGGAGAAGACAAGGAAGGGGCTTGAGGATTTGATGTTGTTTGCTATTTTTATGGTCCAAATGGCTCGAACAATACCACTTAATTAATTCAAAAGGCTCGAACAATACCACTCAATTATTCTAAAATGGCTCGAATAATAGCACTTGATTATTCAGTAAAAATACATTGGTTACTAGAAAACCATAAGAAGCGACCGCTTCTTGTTCTATACTACGCACAAAGATTTATAGTACGTAGGAGTAGTATTATGTTAACCTCGAAAGATGATCTAATGGACATATCGTCTCTCCTACATTGGCCGTTCAGAGTAACTCTTTTCCCGAGAATGCGAGATCCCGGTGTTTTTCGTAACAGATATTATACTAAAATGTTTGCATAAGTCCTTGCTCTACTTGAAAAATCGCTAAAACAGTATAGGAGATAGACCTTTTAGTACGATTAACATTTCTTCAACTGTACTAAAAGATATATCTTAATCCTTTAGATCTTACGTAAGAGACGAGATAAAGTCCTACACCCACGAAAGCTCTTGTATATAACAACCGATGAGGGAAGAAATCGTTTAGGTAGAAACAAGAAAAAAGGTGATTAAAAAAAGATGTACGCCTTGCATGACCATTGATTGCGCGATCTACCAGCAGTTTTGTGCCTCGAGTGAACGATAGGACGAAGTAGCTGTGGATGATATGTGTTCTTCGGTGACATCCTCCAGCAGGACTACTAGCAGAAGGGGTTGTTCAAGGGAGGTTTGAATGGTGGGTAAGGAGGGGGGGTTAACAGGTCGTTGACATAAAATGTTATCTTACTAAGCCTTCACATGGTCTTACGGCAGAATTAGAATGGAACCCGGGGTGATTAATAGTTTAGTATAGGCAAGCCTAGATATAAGGATATTAGATATAAGGATATTAGATATAAGGATATTAGATATAAGGATAATCTCGGTTCTATCCTTGAATTCAAGCACCCGATTTTTCAGGTAGAATATATAAGGATACCTCTATAATAAGGATAATCCTTAGGTTTTCAGGTTCTAAAAAGATTTTTATACTAAAATATCCTCCTTTTTATTTTTATATAAAAGGTTCTAAGTCAAGTCCTAGTATTTTCTAAGTTAAACCCTAGGGCTTAGAAATACTATTTATAGGATTCTACGTATAGTACTAGTACTATATAAGTATTACTAGGTACTACGGTATATTTTCCTAGTACTTAAACATATAACCTTATTATTACTTATACTAAGACCCTTAATATAAGAACACTCTCCGTTACATTCTTAAATATATATTTTCCGAGAATATTCTTATATCTAGGTTTACTTATATTGGGTTATTATAATTATATATAATAGAACCTTATTATATTATTTATATTATTATAAGAAAAAATACGTTATTATTTATTATTATACTAAGATATACTAGTGGAGGTTCTAGCTTAATCTATAGTATTTCTAGCTAATAGAAGCCTAGGGTTTCTTATAGACTTTTAAAGTTCTCTCTAATCTAGCTAGAAATAGTAGAAATACTATCTAAATAAGAAAATATAAGTATTTTATAACTAAAGTATTTTTCGTAAATATTTACTAGTAAAAGGCTAATTCTCCCTAGAAATCCCCTCTTTATATACCCTTTCTAGCCTCTTTTTAGGCTTGTTTTTTACTACTAAAAGTAGGGTTAATATAACGTACTTCATAAGGAGTCCGGATTTATAAGCAGTCCGGATTTTTTACCCCCCCATTGACCACCCTACACACTTTCAATCTACATAACTTACCCAATTATTGTTCAAATGTCTCGAAAAGAAGGTCAAATTGCTCTTGCAATCAGTGCATACAATAAGGGTCAATTTACAAGCTTAAAAGCAGCTTGTACAAGGTACGATGCGCCATATTCTACTACTTACGACCGCGTCAAGGGAGCTATTCCACAACGCGATTTCCGACCCCGAAACCAGAAACTCACCGACCTCGAGGAATCAGCACCTATACAATGGATGTTATCAATGGAAGCTAGAGGTCTGCCAGTACGGAAAGATTCGATACGCCAAATGGCCGATTTACTACTGGAAAAGCGAACTGAAGTAGGTCGAATTATTGTCGGAAAATGCTGGGTTGACAACTTTATAAAGCGCCACGACTCTTTAC